GAGGTCTTCTAGTCCAACCCCGCTGCTCAGGCAGGAAACCCTACAATCCTTAAAAGATTCTCTTAGGAGAGCAACAAGATGGATCTGCTGGTCTGATCTACCAAGTGGAATTGACACTCGTGGAGACTAGCTAGGAAACCTGAACACCATAGAGAACAAATATTGGTCCCCATCCTGCCCGATTTTATTCACACGGCTGATGCACAAATATCCTGAAGTCGCATCACAACAACGTTTGACCAACTGTGACAAAAGTCTTATTTACCTACAGGGAGTCCTCGACTTACGACAGTTCGTTTAGTGACCGTTCCATGTTACAAAGGCACTGGAAAAAGTGACTTATGACCGTTTTTCGCACTTACGACCGTTGCATCGTCCCCGTGGCCACGTGATCAAAATTCAGACGCTTGGCAGCTGACTCATACTTACAACGGTCGCAGCGTCCCGGGGGAATCACGTGATCCCCTTTGGCAATCTTCTGACAAGCAAAGTCAATGGGGGGAAGCCAGATTCACTTAACGACTGTGTGACTAAATAAATAACTGCACTGATTCACTTAACAACGGTGGCAAGAAAGGTCGTAAAACGGGGCAAATCTCACTTAGTAACTGTCTTGCTTAGTGACAAACATGTTTGGCTCAATTGTGGTCGTAAGTTGAGGACTACCTATATTCTATAGCCTTGTCCGGGGGTCTTCCAACTTGGCCCTTTGATGACTTGTGGACTTCAACTCCCAGAATTCCTCAGCCAGGCACGCTGGCTGAGGAATTCTGGGAGTTGAAGTCCACAAGTCATCAAAGGGCCAAGTTGGAAGACCCCTGTCTTAAAGCATCCTGGCTGAGGAATTCTGGGAGTTGAAGTCCACAACTCATAAAAGGGCCAATTTGGAAGACCCCTGGCCTTCTCCTTCACATTTCCAAGCTCCTAAAATGAACCAAGGGATCATCTATTCCTGACAAAATCCAGATGAGTTTGTAAGCGCGGACCAAAAGAACCACAACACACACAGACAAGGCACACATGACAACAACATTGTCAAGAGAGCTGACAAGTCATTTTTTTCAAACCTTCTTGAGATTGGACACCATCTTAGTTCCTTAGGAATATTATTTTTATTCATTTATATATACACTTAGATTACTTTTGCTTTCTTTTCCAATCTACAGAAGTAGTGGATAAGGTTTAAATCAGTATTTCTCAACCTCAGCCACTATAAAGTGGGTGGACTTCACTCCCAGAATTCCCCAGCCAGCTATTTTGGGAGCTGAAGTTAACTCATTTTAAAGGGAGCAAAGGTGGAAAAACATTGATCTAAATCAGGGGTCTTCAAACTTGGCAACTTTAAGACTTCAACTCCCAGAATTACTCAGCCAGCCTTGGCTGACTGAGGAATTCTGGGAGTTGAAGTCCACAAGCTGGCTGACTGGATGGCCAAGGAATTCTGGGAGTTGAAGTCTACAAGCTGGCTGACTGGCTGGCTGAGGAATTCTGGGAGTTGAAGGCCACAAGCCGGCTGACTGGCTGGCTGAGGAATTCTGGGAGTTGAAGTCCACAAGCCGGCTGCCTGGCTGGCTGAGGAATTCTGGGAGTTGAAGTCCACAAGCTGGCTGACTGGCTGGCTGAGGAATTCTGGGAGTTGAAGTCCACAAACTGGCTGACTGGCTGGCTGAGGAATTCTGGGAGTTGAAGTCCACAAGCTGGGTGACTGGCTGGCTGAGGAATTCTGGGACTTGAAGTCCACAAGCTGGCTGACTGAATGGCTGAGGAATTCTGGGAGTTGAAGGCCACAAGCTGGCTGACTGAATGGCTGAGGAATTCTGGGACTTGAAGTCCACAAGCTGGCTGACTGGCTGGCCAAGGAATTCTGGGAGGTGAAGTCCACAAACTGGCTGACTGGCTGGCTGAGGAATTCTGGGACGTGAAGTCCACAAGCTGGCTGACTGGATGGCTGAGGAATTCTGGGACTTGAAGTCCACAAGTCTCAAAGTTGCCAAGTTTGAAGACCCCTGATCTAAATATATGTAGTTGTAGACTTACGACTACAATTGAGCCCAACATTTTTGTAGCTAAGCGAGACAGCTGTTCAGTGAGTTGTTTGTCTCATTTACAACTTTTTGGCACCGCAGTTGTTAAGCAAATGAACCGCAGTTGTGACGCCAGTAACACGGTTGTTAAGTGAATCTGGCTTCCCTATTGACTTTGCTTGTACAGAAGGTTGCAAAGGGGGATTACATGACCCCGGCAACACTGCGACCGTCATAAATAGGAGGCAGTTGGCAAATCTGGATGACGTGACCCATAGGGATGCTGCAATGGGTTGTGTGTAAAATGGCGGTGTCGCTTTTTTTAAGTGCCATTGTAACTTTGAGCGGTCACTAAACAAAGGGTTGTAAGCCAAGAACTACATGTAGGCCTTCACTTATAACACTTCATTTAGTGACCGTTTGAAGTTAAAACGGCACTGAAAAAAGCGATTTATGACCATTTTTCACACTTACGACCATTTGCCATACATCCCCACGGTCAAAATTCAGACACTTGGCAAATGACTCATATTTATGACGGTCGCAGTGTCCTGAGGTCGCGCGATCCTCTTTTGCGACCGTCTGACAAGCAAAGTCAATGGGGGGAAACCAGATCCAATTATTGACCGTGTTACTAATTTAACCGCTACTTAAGAAATGTGGCAAGAAAAGTCATAAAATGGGGCAAAACTCACATAACGTAATTTCTCACTTAGCAACATAAACGTTGGGATCAGTTGCGGCCGTTAAGTCGAGGACCACCTGGACTTGTACGCCTATTTCTGCCCATCCCGAATTTTTGTGCAGGCCATTCAGCTTGCAATTAAGAACGGTGCTGGCAGGTAGCAATCAAAACTGAACGAATCAAACCCCGATCGTATCAAGCCAGCATAACAAACCAGGAATGTACACAAGACACATAGCCAAGGCTGGAAATAATCATCACTTGCCCAACTGGACGGAGCCAGTTGGGCGAGCCATTTGTCCGAAATGGTATGTAGGGTTTCCTGTCTGAGCAGGGAGTTGGACTAGATGACCTCCAAGGTCCCTTCCAACATTATTATTATTATTATTATTATTATTATTATTATTATTATTATTATTATTATTATTATTATTATTAACCGCCTCCAGAAGCGGTGAATGCTCCAACACTGGAGGTTTTTAAGAAGAGACTGGACAGCCATTTGTCCGAAATGGTATGTAGGGTTTCCTGTCTGAGCAGGGGGTTGGACTAGATGACCTCCAAGGTCCCTTCCAACATTATTATTATTATTATTATTATTATTATTATTATTATTATTATTATTATTATTATTATTATTATTATTATTATTTTATTATTATTATTATTATTATTATTATTATTATTATTATTATTATTAACCGCCTCCAGAAGCGGTGAATGCTCCAACACTGGAGGTTTTTAAGAAGAGACTGGACAGCCATTTGTTTGAAATGGGATAGGGTTTCCTGCCTGAGCAGGGGGTTGGACTAGATGACCTCCAAGGTCCCTTCCAACTTTATTATTATTATTATTATTATTATTATTATTATTATTATTATTATTATTATTATTATTATTATTATTATTATTATTATTATTGCTGCTACTACTACTACTACTATAATCACCACCTTCGCCCAATACAGGTGAATACATTCCAAAAGGAAGCATCAATTAAAAAAAAAAAACCCAAAATAACGCACAGCCTTTTCCATTGTAAGAAAACCAGGGACTAGAAACCCCAAAGGCAACGCACCTGGTTTCTCCCTCGCCGCTTGCCGTAATTCCGTCGCACCAGGGCCTTGTAGTTTTCGTTTTTCTTAGTCAGGTAATAATACAGGACGCAGTCGGGCACGTTCTGAAGGGGCGAAGGGGGAGACGAGTTTTAAAACGTAAACCTTTCCCAAAGGAGACGCTGAGGCGAGACTCTGAATATTCTGCGCAGCAAAACACCACACAAACACAAAACGCAACCGAGAGACGGGACAGCCACTTCCAATCAGATGCTAGGAAAAATTTTCCTAGCGCTTAAGAGCAGCTGGAATAGCCGGCCCAAATAAGGGGCCGGCTCCCTTTGGATGGAGATTTATTTATGATATCCCGCCTTTTATTATTTTTACAAATAACCAAAGATGATGGACGTATTCAACACACCTTCCTCTTCCTATTTTCCCCACCAAACAACCGTGAGGTAGACTGCGCTGAGAGGGAGGGGCTGGCTCAAGGTCACGTAGCCGGCCTAAGGTGGGACTAGAACTCACAGCCTTATGACAGTCGCCAGGCGTTCTAGTCCTGCTTTAAGCACAAAAGGCAGTTGGGTGACTTTAGGCCAATCACCAGGAGACGGTGAGTTGTAGTCCCGCCTCAGACATGAAAGTCAGCTGGATGACTTTGGGCCAATCGCTAGGAGATGGTGAGTTCTAGTTCTGCCTTAGGCATGAAAGCAGCTGGATGATTTTGGGCCAATCGCCAGGAGACGGTGAGTTCTAATCCCGCCTTCGGCATGAAACCTATCTGGGTAACACTGGGCCAATCACCTGGAGACTGTGAGTTCTAGTCCCGCCTTAGGAACGAGAGCAAGTTGGGTGACGTTGGGCTAGTTATTTTCTCTGTCAGCCCAGCTTACATCACAAGATTGTTGTGGGAAAAAGAGGAAGGAATATTATGCAGGTTTTCCACCTTGAGTCAAGTAATGAAGACCGAATAAAATTAAAAAATAAATAAATAAAATAAGATAATAAAATGAAACAAAATTAAACAATAAAATTAAATAAAATTAAAATAACAAATCAATCAAATCAAATCAATAAAGTAAAATTAAATTAAATTAAAATAACAAATCAAATCAAAAATAAAACTAAATAATAATAAAGTAAAATAAATAAAAGAAAAATAAAAAATAAAAGAAAAATAAAAGAAAAATGACAAATCAAATCCAATAACAAATCAAATTAAAACAATTAATTAAAATAAAATAAAATAAATCAAATAAAATAATAAAATAAAATAAATTAAAATGAACTAATAAAATAAAATAGAATAAAAATAAAAAGTAAAAGTAAAAGTAAAAGTAAAATAAAAGTAAAATAACAAATCAAATCAAGTAATAAATAATGAAATGAAATGAAATGAACAAAGTAAAACAAAGTAATAAAATAAAATAGAATAAAAATAAAAATAAAATATTCAAATGAAATGAAAGTAAAACAAATCAAAAAATTAAAATCAAATCAAATAAAAATAACAAATTAAATCAAATAATAAAATAAAATAAATAATAAAATAAAATAAATAAATAATAAAGTAAAATAAGCTGATAAGATAAAATAGAATAAAAACAAAATATAAAATCCAAATTAAATAAAACATAAAATAAAATATTGTGCCCTGCAGCTCGTGGCCTCGTCGTCCTCCATCATAACGAAGCCCCCTCTTACCTTTCTTTCCAAATACGAAGCAATGAGGCCAAAATTCTTAGGATGCTGGACAAATCTGTAATAAAAAAAAACCGAAAAAAGAGACAGGTTTAGCCGACTCCCTGATTGGCAGACAGGCCTACAACAGGCCTCATGTTGTATATAGTATGTTTAGGTGTGTGTCGTGTGTGTTCACTTTGAGAGCGGGCAACTACCTTTCACTTTTGACGTGTGGCGCTGTGCCCACAGGGAAAAAAAAATGACAATAAAGATTATCTTATCTTACTTTATCCCCTCCCTTAATTACCAGGCCCAGCTTGGCTCAGGGTCACTCAGGACAGGAAGCGGACAAACCCGTTTTCCTTAGTACCAATCAGGTTACCTCACAGAGGTAATCTGGCTATCTAACCTAGATACCATTAGCCTGTGTTATTTTATTTTGTTTTTTTAAAAGCTAGAGGAGCATTTCAAGAGATAATGAAGCAGGGTCCTTTTTAGGGAGGGCTTTGGATTGAAGAAGGCCGACTGACAGGACTTCTGACAATCAGAGTTTCCTGAATGCAGCTCTTATATTTGCAAGGATGATGATGATGATGATGATGATGATGATGATGATGATGATGATGATGATGATGATGATGATAATAATAATAATAATAATAATAATAATAATAATAATAATAATAGTAAAGTTGGAAGGGACCTTGAAGGTCATCTAGTCCAACCCCCTGCTCAGGCAGGAAACCCTATCGCATTTCGGACAAATGGCTCTCCAGTCCCTTCTTAAAAAGGTCCAGTTGGAGCATTCACCGCTTCTGGAGGCAAGGAGTTCCACTGGTTAATTATTCTCACTGTCAGGAAGTTTCTCCTTAGTTCTAGGTTGCTTCTCTCCTTGCTTAGTTTTCCATCTGTTGCTTCTTGTCCTGCCTTCAGGCGCTTTGGAGAATAGCTTGACTCCCTCTTCTTTGGGGCAGCCCCTGAGATACTGGAACACTGCTATCATGTACCCCCTCGCCCTTCTCTTCATTAAACTAGACATGCCCAATTCTAGCAACCGTTCCTAGTTACCTCATGTTACCTAGTTAGGTGATGAAACTTCTGCGAGAAAACCAGCAAGCTCAAAGAGCACCAAGGACCCCCCCCAGTCGTTATCCTCCTCCTTCATCACTACCCCTACCATCACCCTACAAACCCCCTTCCCCTCTAGCCCTGATGATGTTACCTAGATGGGTCATGAAAAGTCTGCAAGAAAACAACCAAGCTCAGAGAGCACCAAAGACCCCACAATCCTCTTTCTCCTCCTCCTCATTATCATCCTCCTCCTCCTCCCTTCTAGGACTGATGACATTACCTAGTTGGGTAGACAAATGTCTGCAAGAAAATCACCAAGCTCAGAAAGCACCAAGGACCCCACTGTCCTCCTCCTCCTCCTTCTCCTCCTCCTCCCTGCAAATCCCCCTCTCCTCTAGCACTGATGATGTTACCTAGTTGGGTCATGAAAAGTCTGCAAGAAAACTATCAAACTCAGAGAGCACCAAGGACCCCACAATCCTCTTCTTTCTCTTCCTCTTCCTCCTCCCTCTTCTTCTTCTTTTCTTCGCATTCACCTGCCTCCAGAAGTGGTGAATGCGCCAACACTGGAAGTTTTTAAGAAGAAAGTGGACAGCCATTTGTCCGAAATTGTATAGGGTTTCCTGCCTGAGCAGGGGGCTGGACTAGATGACCTCCAAGGTCCCTTCCAACTTTATCATTATTATTATTATTATCTTCCATTCTGCAAACACCACTCCCCCTTGCTCACTAGCTCGACAAGAAGATGTTGAGACTCTGGAAAGAGTGCAGAGAAGAGCAACAAAGATGATTAGAGGTCTGGAGACTAAAACATACAAGGAACGGTTGCTGGAGTTGGGAATGTCTAGTTTAATGAAGAGAAGGACGAGGGGGGACAGGATAGCTAGTCTTCCAGTATCTCAGGGGCTGCCCCAAAGAAGAGGGAGTCAAGCTATTCTCCAAAGCCCCTGAAGGCAGGACAAGAAGCAACGGATGGAAACTAATCAAGGAGAGAAGCAACCTAGAACTAAGGAGAAACTTCCTGACAGTGAGAAAAAATAACCAGTGGAACAACCTGCAACCATTTTCCTTCTTATGTTTTACTCTTAGAATTAGAGTTAGAATTAGATGATACTGGGGGGGGGGGAATGTGCATGGGAGTTTAGCTAGACATAACAATACTGTAACTAGTGTGAGAACCAAGATTTTTGAAATAAGAGATAAGAAATGGCAGGCTGGAGTACTGGAGGGAAAGCCTGCATTTCAAACTAATTGGGGAATGTGATTTATGACTGTTCATTGGAGGAGGGAATTGTGCTTTGATACTATGTGCTCAGGGGAGGGGAATTCAGATTTTGGCTTGGCCTATGTACGTGCAGATGCTATGCTTCTCTAATAAAGATTTTTAAAGGTAAACAATGCCTCAAAGTTCTTTGAAGAGTTGCATCTGTCGGAACCATGACGCCGTGCCAAAAACTGGTTGCAAAATCGTTTTTGGCACAGCTGTTAAGGGAACTCACGCAGTCGTTAAGCGAATCAGGCTTCCCCCCCATGACTTTTTCTCCAACGGTTGTAAAATCGGTCACGGCTTGGTTAGCGGTGGAAATTCTAACCTCAAATGCAGTCGTAACTCGAGGACCACGCTTGCACACATACACACCAGACGGCGCAAAGACCGTGCAAGACTTGAGTTGTGTGCCAGCAATTTCTTGAGTTGTGTGCCGGGGGGGGGGGGAGAAATTTACTTTTCTTTAAAGATCTCCTTCTCGTGATCGGTCCAGACGTTCATGAACTGCCGATCCTTGTAGACCTTCATGGGGTCCTCCATCAGCCCGTTCATGTTGATGAACTTCACGCGACGCTGTTCGGCATCGAACATCATGGGAGGGATGACGGACAGCTGGCGCATTTGCTTCTCATTGTTCTAGAAGCAGGGGGGGTGACGGAGGGAGGGGGGAAGGAAAAGAGGAAGAACGACACAATGTGAACGCTGACTGCATCGTTTCTACCTCTGCTGAGCGGGCCCAGGCCAGCCAGCGCATTGTGAGGTCAGTGCTGGCAGATCTTCGGTTCCTGGTTATTTCCCGAAGACTGAAGAGACACAGAGAAATAGAAAGAAAAGAGGAAAAGGAAAAATAGGAAGAAAAAAAGAAAGAAAAAGAGAAAGAGAAAAGGAAAAGAGAAAAGGAAAAGAGAAAGAAAGAGAGGGAGGGAGGAAAGAGAAAGAGAGGGAGGGAGGGAGGGAGGGAGGAAAGAAAGAAAGAAAGAAAGAGAGAGAGAGAGAGAAAAGGAAAGAGGGAAGGAAGGGAGAAAAAAGAAAGGAAACAAAGAAACAAAGAAAGAAAGAAAGAAAGAAAGAAAGAAAGAAAGAAAGAAAGAAAGAAAGAAAGAAAGAAAGAAAGAAAGAAGAAAAGAGGAAGAGAAAAAAGGAAGGAGGGAAGGAAGGAAAGGAGAAAAAAGGAAGAAAGAAAGGAAAGAAAGATAGAAAGAAAGAAAGAAAGAAAAAGAGTAAGAGAAAAGGAAGGAGGGAAGAAAGAGAAAAAAGAAAGGAAAGAAAGAAAGAAAGAAAGAAAGAAAGAAAGAAAGAAAGAAAGAAAGAAAGAAAGAAAGAAGAAAAAGAGGAAGAGAAAAAAGGAAGCAGGGAAGGAAGGGAGAAAAAAGAAAGGAAGGAAATGAGAAAGAAGAAAGGAAGGAGGGAGGGAGTGTAGAATGAAGGGTTAGGGAGAGGAAGGAAGGAAGGAAGGAAGGAAGGAAGGAAGGAACGAAAGAAAGAAAGAAAGAAAGAAAGAAGAGAAAGAGGAAGAGAAAAAAGGAAGGAAGGAAGGAAGGAAATGAGAAAGAAGAAAGGAAGGAGGGAGGGAGTGTAGAATGAAGGGTCAGGGAGAGGAAGGAAGGAAGGAGAAAGGAAGGAGGGAGGGAGGGAGTGTAGAACAAAGGGTTAGGGAGAGAAAAGAGGGAAGGAGGCATGGTGGAAGGAAGGAAAAAAGGGAGGGAGGGAGAAAAGAAGGGACAAAAGAACAAAAGAACGAAGGAAATGAGAAAGAAGAAAGGAGGGAGGGAGGGAGTGTAGAATGAAGGGTTAGAGGAAGGAAGGAAGGAAGGAAGGAAGGAAGGAAGAAAGGAAGGAAGGAAGGAAGGAAAAAAAGAGAGGGAGGGTGGGAGGAAGAAAGGGAGAAACCAACAGCCACTATCTCCCCCCTCCCGATAGTGTGTGTTTCTCTTAACAAGTCTAGTGATTTGAACTGGCAAAAAAAAAAAAAGCTTGTAAAATCAGCTCTGACTCATTTAACCACCCACTTGCTTAGCAACGGAAATCTTGGTCCCAGCTGCAGTCGTAAACCGAGGACTGCCTGGACCAAACCCCTGATTATTACTTTTTTTTCTTTTTTCTTTTTGCCAGACCTAGAGACGACCCACCACTTTAAAAAGACACCCCTCTACAAATATCTAAGATCGGTCTAGCCAGGAAAAGCACCTCCCCCTCCCCTTTCCCAAACCTTCCCAAGTCGGGAAGGGGGAAGGTCCCCACCCCCCGACCACCCTCACCTCCTGTTCCGACAGCCCGTCGATGATCTCCGAGATTTCGTGCTCGCTCCGAGCGATGGTGGCCGAAAGGCCGGTTCCTCTTTGACCCACCCTGCAGGTGCCACAAGAAAAGAAGGTCAATGAGAAGAAAGTTTGAGGTTATCTTTTGGAATAATAATTATAATAATAACAACAAAAAAGGTGGAAGGGACCTTGGAGGTCATCGAGTCCAACCTTCTGCTCAGGCAGGAAACCCTATACCATTCCAGACCAATGGCTGTCCAGTCTCTTCTTAAAAACTTCCAGTGTTGGAGAAAGAAGGAAGGGAGGGAGGAAGGAAGGAAGAATACAGAAGGAAGGAACTAAGGAAGGAAAGAAGGAAGAAAGAAAGAAGAGGAAGAGAGAAGGAAGGAAAAAGGGTGGGAGGAAAGAGGGAGGAAGGGAAGAAGGAAGGAAGGAAGGAAGGAAGGAAGGAAGGAAGGAAGGAAGGA